CACTTTCACCTTCACTTTGAAATAAAGTTATATTACAAAACACAGTCAATCTCTGAAGGGAGAGTAAACATAGTCCCTGAATGTCTCCAAAGAAATCTCTAAAACTTGGTGGAGACATCTGTTAAAAGGAAACAACAGTTATTTTTCTGTTTTAGGTGATGTATGACTGTACATCTTCAACTATCATGGGTGCAAATTCTAGTCAAGTGAAACCCAAGTTATTCAAGCTCTTTAAAGCATTAAAGAGGAGTGTCAGGAGGGTTTTATAAGGTGTGAGAGCACTTCAGTCTGTCAAGTATATTTTGACAGCTCATCTCCAGGGACCGTGTGACAAAAACAAGGCATGGAAGAGGGGAGAAGCAAACCAGCACTGCACAGTAAGAACTGTATTTGCCCCCTGTGGTTTTATGTAAAATGGATGAGAAACAAGCTCTGTGTCCACAGTTTTCACACAGCCACAATGTTATGTTAATCCTCAATTTCCCAAGACACTTGGGGTGTTTGTTTTAGCCAAATAGATTTGTAGAGCAAAACTGGATCTCTAAATCATCACCTGGCCACTTGCCAACATGACCAGACAAGACAGGCACACCAGCCAAAGCCACAAAGTATTAGCATTTGGCTGGTAAGCTGATATGCACGTGGCATGTTTAACATACTCCCTAATAAGATATATGGCCATGCTTCCTGTCTGAGTAATATAACCGTATATTTGAAGAGAAACCTGACTGCTTCAGCAAGGCTCATTCAAGGAATGCAATTTCAAAACAGTGTAAAAAGTGAAGAAACGTATTTTTGCTCCACAAAGCTTCCGGAGGCCTTTTTTAAAGACAAAGCATTTTCATGTTGGGTACATCCGATTCTCCCAAAATCAAGGCAAATAACAGCTATGCTGGCATCTCTGTGAGACACCATGCTATGAGTGTCAACACATATACAGTCACAGTGTGAGCATGCCTAGGCATGCTCACACCTCTGTAATCACTTTTGTTTATGTGTCTTTTGACGTATCTCTCTGTAGTCATGTTGACTTTTTATTGCTATTATGCATCGTTCTGAAGTATTTAAGTGTCTAATTGTTGTCATTTTCTGTCTCATAGTAGCTGACTTGGCCAGTATACTATTTACCATGCTTACCATCTTAGGCCACTGTCACACAGGCCTAGGGACCAATTGGTGAACCCTGGTAACTTTATTCCCCAGTTGGCTACAAATCGTTGGTGGAAGTTAATATGAAGTGATTGCTAAAGCCACATTTGCACAGCCCTAGACACTGGTCAGTGATATCTTGGTAACTACCAGCCACTAGAGCAAAGTACAATGTCCTCAACCACTACGCTAGGGGTTGTGAATGGTTGCTGGCAGTTGCAAGCAAGAAATTGGTTGTAACGAGGTATACAGTGCTGTATCAAAAACTTCCTTCCCTTTGTGTCTGGTTGTCACAGTAATCTATAGTTTGCATGGAAGATCCTGAATACCTGCCAAAAGGTAGTAAGCTGTAACTTGCTGCAACTTTATCGGTGAATGTTCGCCATCTCCATTTGTATTCCACTTACTCAAGTTTTAGCACATCTCGGAGAATAAATGTAGAGTATTCAAGGAGAAATTCATGTCTTTCCCAGTGTATGTATAGAAAACCTCCGCACCTTCTCAGATTGTAGAGTGAAATTCAGGTGGAGCAGGTGCTAGCTAGATGAGTTTTCTGCAACACATCTAATTGATGAAAGGTCTAACTTGCCAAAAGTAATTAAGTAGCCCACATTTTTAACTTGAGCTGGCTTCTTTCACTTCTACACTTTCTCTAATTAATTGCACCGTTTTAGCTGTTAGAAGTTTATGACTCAGCACAGGAGGTTTGGCTGGAATGGTAATTTGGCACTTGCGCAATAAATTTTTGCCCAAGGGCCTCTCAACTGGTTCAGCTTTATCAGTGATCTCACTTATTATTATGCATAAAATGTGGGCTCTCCTAGCTTCATTACTGACCCCATTACAAATATAATCTTGACAAGTTCAGCAGCACAAACTCATCCGTGACCTCGTTAATAACCATCCATAACCTCGCCACTTGATTTCGCCTATAATCTTCTTTTTGACATCAATAATAACCTCTTAAAATCTCACTCATGGTCACTATCACATTTCATAAGATCACTTGTAATATCATCATTATGCCTTCTCACCCTGAAACAAAGCTGCGTTTGCTCAGTGAATCGGTAAACAAATCACAATCACTGCAACGGTGTAACAACATGAGAAAATAATTGCTTTGTGTGTGTTTGTTTTGCATCAGTGTGGCTAATGAGTTCCTTTGTCTTCTCATTAAAGACCAGGGAAGGCGAGTAATAGGCACTGGAGGTCGTTCTTTTGGAAGCACTCTTCCTTTTGACTAATTTGCTGCACTTCTTCTCACGCAAATGAATTTGCTACTTAGGGCTTAAAGCTTCTTATGTGAGCAGCAGCTCGTGACATTTACAGAGACACGGGGAAGCTCAAGGAAGATGAGAATGGATCAGCAGGAAATGGGCAACAGTGAAGGACGGTGGAAGGTGGGTGTATGTGTGTATGTCTTGGAGAGGTTATCTGGGTATGGTGGGACAGTGAGAGGCAAATCAAAGAAAATGAAGGAGGGTAGAGGAAACTCAGCTTCCTGCGGCATTAATCAGCAGCACATGAAACACCAGAAATGACAGCAGAGCTTACATGCAATGGAGAGAGAGGCCATCTCTACTTACCCCAAATATGAAAGCTTGATTGGGCCATTGGACTTCTTTTTTTGTGATAATCATCCCTCCCTCATCCTTTATGTGGTCTCCATTTTTCTTTAAAGGCACTTCTAGAGACACCCAGAGGCTGTGCTAAATGGCAGTCTCTGAATTCTGAATAACCTCATTTTGGGTTATGAGACAATAGGAGCTGGGAGTACACAACAGGCATGCAGCCACTGTGAGTTTCACTGTGGTCATTTCACATCTCGACATCTTTATTTGGCTGTGCCACAGTGATTTGGTGCTATATTAATAAAGCTGAACTGAATTAAATTGAACTGAATCTGACCTAACAGTACTATGGCTTTATGTGATTGCTGGTAGTATATACATTGTTCAGGCACAAAATTATAACCACCTGCCTAATATTGTGTTGGTCCCCATGTTGCTTGTTCCATTGAAAACGTGAGTTGGGGCCTCCAAGGATCGGAATTATTTGTCAAGCACACCCCACAGATGCTTAAATTAGATTTGAGATCTCAAATGGATGGTGGTGGATGTCAAATAACATCCACACGGATGGAAGTACCCAAGGTTTCCCAGTAGAGCATTGCCCAAAGCCTCACACTGCCTCCACCTGCTTTCTTTCGTCCCATAGTACATAATGGTGCCAGGTGTCCTCCAAATAAGTGATGTGCATGCACCCAGCCTTCCATATGATATAAAGGAAAACGAAGATGCTCTGACCCAGTCATCTAACTGTCACAATGTGGCCTATTTCTCCTGCTTCTAACACATCACCCCTCACCATCGATGTTCACTTATCTCAGCCACTAACAGGTGCCATGGTGAAGAGATAATAAGTGTTATCTACTGCACCTGTCAGTGATTAACATGTTATACCTGATTTAAAGAAAACAACTTTCTGTTTCCAGAACAGTTTTAAAGTAACAAATAAGTAAAGGAGTCTGAAGAAAAGCTTTGGGAACTTAGAAGCTCACTCTTCAGTAATCATTGCAGCTTTGTAGCAGCTAAGATTTGTTCAGTTCTTGTTTGGGAGGATTTTTGCCTTTTCTTCCTTCCTGCAAAAGATTTGTAGTTCTTTTAAATTTCTTGGTGGCTTTGCATGTGCAGCTGTCTTGAAATAAAGCCCCAGATTTCTAAAATTTTGATCAGGGTGACTATGAGGGCCATAGTAAAACCTTCAGCTTCCACCTATGGATTATAGAAAATATTTTAATTTAATCTTTAGTTTTATTTATTATTTATTTTACTGTTCACTGATATTTAATGAAATTCATTCTTGCTCACTCATAGTGTTACTGGTTGGAACAGATATATAAGTGTGACTGATCAGCCCTATATTTAACAATTCTGCATTGTTTTTCCCCCACATTTTTCTCATGGCTTTCAGTAAGTTCTCTTTTAACTATATTAGTCTACAATACTTGTTTCCAAAATGCATCTTCAAGCAACTTAAAGAAGTCCAGACACAGGATTTTCTTTCCAAGCTCAGACCAGCTACATCTTTGTTTTGTTCTTATAGCATTCTCTTGGAAAATGGGGATCTGTTAGATTTGAAAACTGCAATACTTTCCTGATGACTACTGTGTGACCAAGCACAACAAGTAAATCTGACACAACTTGGTAATAGTTGGTCATTTCTATTAAAGAGTCCCCCAAACTTCTGAATCACATTCTTCGTATTTACTGTCACTCTCCCTTTTTTTTTCTAAAAAAAAAGAAAGTTTTTAATCTATAACTTTATGCCTTTTAAAGATCACTTCATGCTATGTTCATCACAGTAACAGAAATCTGAAGACGTCCAAACTTTTGCATGCTACCGTATTTTTGTGAAACAGTGATTTGAAGGACTGCAGTAACTTGGTCTCTGCACCACCTCTGTGTGCCCCTTTCTTGTCGTGCTGAAGTAGCACTTGGAGTAAACACTTCACTCACAACAACAGCACCAAACACCTCCATCACTGCTGCTCTCCATCTGTCCTCAAGCCACAGCCATGCATGAATTCTAACATGCACAGACTGAGATTGCCTCATAAGACATATTTTCAAGAGCAGTTCTCTAAAAACCAAATATTTGCAGTTGAACAAAGCTTTACACATGCAGGCAGGTGGAGTTTGTTTAGTCATTAGTCATGTAACCATTCATTCTTTGAGGAGAAAAAAAGCCCACATCAACAACAACAAAGCACTGTGCCTGCTGGACTCGAGTCAGCAACACACCAAATGTCAACTTAATGAAGCCCGATATGAGTGTCACTCAATGCTTACCATAGAGAATGGTCACCATGGAAACCGGCATGACCAAGATGCCGAGAAGCATGTCAGCTACTGCCAGTGACATCAAGAAATAGTTTGTGGCGTTCTGCAGCTTCTTCTCCAGGGAGACGGCCAAGATCACCAGGATGTTGCCCATGACCGTGACAGCGATGACCACTAAAATCAGCAGGGCTGCCCAGTTTTTCTGCATCAGCTGCTCCAAGGGAGGACACTGAGACCCGTAGACTCCCACCACGTTATGGTGAGACCAGTTCCCCAGCTGTGCGTCATTGCCATTATGAACCACGTTGTTCCTCTGGCAGCCCAGGTTTGTGGCATTGCTGCTTTGGAGGCCACCTTCCTCGCGTGGAGGCCAGGGGTTAGACCCCAGAGTGCTAACGGCTGTGACAGTGTTAGAGATCAACTCTGACACATTGCCACCATGCAGGTTCATGGTGTCAGCTTGATAAATGCTCAGGACCGCTGCCTGGAAAGTGGGTCAGAGTGGCGGAGAAAAGAGGAAAGTCTGTTCATCGCTCACTTGTTTTCCATTCCCGTTGCTCTGAATATTATAAATACAACACCGTTCATCACTCGAGCAATTAACCTGTAATTCAATATGGTTTACCACTTCTTTGCTCCATCATGTCAAATAAAAAAAAAGAAGAAAAGTCCCCGGATTGACTGTCAGAGGATCAAAAAATCATCTCCACAACGGGGAAACAAAAATAGCATTCTGCTGAATTCAGCGCAACCAGAAGAGCAGCTGTTTGATCTCACAGGACAATGCCAAACGCTTAAAAATGATATCTCGCTTGGTTAATAACCTCACTGTGCCAACAGTCCGTCATCTGGCTCTGTGAAAACAAAGAAACAAAAGTATTCCGTTGCCCAAAATATCCCAAACAGAACAGAGTTGTTTTAGGTCCCATGTCTTCAGTGATTTAGGAAAGAAAAAATCTCTTCTGATTATAGAATCCACTCAAAGCTGGCGCGATGGCAGTTGCAGGTTTCTCCTCCTTGGAGTTTGAAGTCAAGGCTGTGTTCATGTTAAAAATATCAGGTCCATGTGAAGTCGGGAATGTTACAAATCAGAATTTCATGGCCTGGTTGAAGCAGTTATTCAGTAACTTTGTTTCTTTTCAGTCAGTCTTTAATGTATGATCTTTAAGGAGTATGAGAACACAAACAAATAAAAAAAATCCTCTAGCCTTGAAATGGTCATTCTTAAACAGTATAATGACACACTGGTGTTATCAGTTTTACACAAACCCTGACTTACGTGTGAATGTTCAGAATTTGTTTATCCTAGCTGACACTCCTGCACAGATGTCATTATGCTGTACGTGCGTGTTTCCTAATGTGTGTGGAAATCTTCAAGCGTCCTCGCTCTCTCGTCTCAACTCATCCCTGCACCTGTGAGAGTGCGTCGGCAGCCGACAGACATGGATGATGAACATGATGATATCTGACATGTGTGAGTATGTGTCACTAACTTTCCAGTCTCCTTCCTTCACTCGCATTTCTTGACTCATAGTAAGAAAGTATTCCTTGTTCACTGTAACTAAGAACAATGTCAGACCTACAGAGAATTAAATATTCCTTACATTTTTCCTCCTTGTACTTGCATAAGCCCTCAGTGGAAAATGTCAGTCACTCTTCAAATCCTTCATGAATAAACACAGATCTCCTTCCTTCACAGACCTTGATCATTCATTCTGCACATTTCAATATCTTGTCACTTTCCAAAAAGGAAAAAAAACTAAAAAAGAAGCAGAAGGAAGAGAAGGAGGAGGAGGAAAGCAAACTTCTTCTCTCTCTCCCATCAGCAGACTGAAGAGGCTCCGTGTGTTTTCAGCTTTCCAGGAGAGTGCCATTAAGTTGTTGAGTCGTCTTCTGTGGTGAACAGGAGCTGAATGCTATTCTGCTTCTACTCGCTCACGCTGCTTCTCACATGCAGCCTGTCTCTCCCTCCCTCTCTCTCTGCAGCTCTCTCACTTGGATCTCCTGCTCTCGCTCTCTCCCTTTCTCTCCCTTTTTACCCAGGGTCTCTCCCCCGCATACCATTTTGGTATGCTCCCTCTCTCGGTCTCTCTCTCTCTTTCTCAAGCGTTCTCTTCTATTTATTGTGCCGCTTTCTCTTTCCTCTTCTTATTCCTGAATCTGGAAGTCCTGTTGTCCCTCCTTCAGTCGCTCTCTCACACTCTCTCTGTGTTTCTCTCACTCAAGTTAAACCTGCATCTCTCTCAATTCACTTTACTAGCATTACCATATTCAGCAATATGCCAAAGCCCTCTCTCTCATATATATATATATATATATAGATAGATAGATAGATAGATAGATAGATAGATAGATAGATAGATACTCATCATGGGTGATTTCTTTGGTGGAATGATTGTATTGCATACATGTTTAATGACTTAAAAAAACAAGAATTGGGTGCACAAGTTTGAATTTATTTTGGATCTTTTCTAATCCACACAGGGGTCAAAAGTATACATACATTTGTGCTAATATTTTGTAAAATGTCCTGGCACAGAGCGGGCTTTTAAGTGTAGAACACACATTCTCAATAGGGTTGAGGTCAGAGCTTTTTGGGTCATTTCTAAACAACTGCAGATTCCAGGATCATCAGATTAAACAGTTCAAATTATTTAGATATGTCGCCACCACACTGCCAAGGTCGGGGAGAAGACCTCAGTTGTCACCCTCAGATGAGAGATTTATTCAGGATCAACCCAGGAACCACCAGGACTCAAGCCTGAAAACCACTGGAACACCAGCATCATTGTCCACAGTGAGGTGTTTTACATTTTTATGAAATGAGAAGGTGCCAACCAACAAAGAAGGACCTGCTCCAACTGTTTACATGGACAAGCTAAATGCCTTCTGGAGAAAAATTTTGGTCACATGAGTCAAAGATTGAGCTTTATGGCCATTTTGCCAGCTGTCAATCATCATGGGATCAAACCTCTGGGGCTGTTTTGCTGCTAGTAGTACTGCACAAAGTGGATTGAATAATGAGGACTACCTACAAATGATTCAACTTACCCTCAAATCTACAGCTAGACGGTTGAAACTTGACACAGCTCAGTTTTCGAACGGGACGGTTATCCCAAACACACATCAAAACTATGTTTAATGGATAAAGCAGGCTATCATTTGGCTTCTGGAAAGGTCTAAGGACCTTGGAAAGAAAAGCATCTGAACTTCTTTAAGTTTCCTTGAAGACATTTTTGAAGTGGACTTCATAAACGCATGGCACAACACAGAAGAGCCACCTCGATGTGACAAGACTCAGCAGTCCATCTGTACCTAAAGAACAAAGGTCAATCTTTCAAGGATGCCAATGTTCACATTTTGGACAGAGAAGACAGATGGTTTGTAAGAGGAGTGAAAGAAGCAATGTATGTCCGCTGTGAGCGACCATCTTTGAACAGAGGCGGTGGTTTATGACACAAACTGTCTGCCACCTATAATCCAGTTTTGAAATCCATCCACAGACACCTTAACTCTCATTCACATCCTGGGCCATCTGACCTCAAGAAATCACATGATAGGGTGGGGCTAGGCTTCACAATGGGTTCACCCGAAACCTTGGCTGATTGTGACCCACACCCCTTTTCACACCTTGGCTTGTGTGATTAGGTAGAAGATCAATAGGGGGTCCATGACCCTCTTGGGGACACTTCCATAGGACTTAAAATCTGGGACTCTCCACAAATTGCTCTTACCACTAAAGAAGCTTCTCAGATGAGAGGTGAAATGTTAGACTTGGACTATGATGACCTGGATGACTGAGAACCTTAGGCTTCTTGAAAGGCTTTCCCAAAGCCCTGATTTTAACCATGTTGAAAATATGTGGACTACACTGAAAAGCTGGGTAAATGACAGGAAACAAAGCAATTTAAAGGAACTCTGACAAGAAAAATGGTCAAACATCCAGCCAGAATTATACCAGAAGATTTTTGATGGCTGCCAATCACGACATGATTTGGTTGGCTGGCGGAATGTGCAGATACATTTGAACAGATGCATTTTAGTTTGCTGCCATCTGTGCTGGTGTTTGGACACTCAGCTCGTAATCACAAGTAAAGCAAAGCATTCACAATTTCAACTGGTCAATGGATGACATCAACTCATCAAAAAATGAATGCTGAGCCAAGAGTGCTAAAGCCTGAAATGCATGTGTATGAAAGGTTACACTTTATTTAATCTGTAGTCAATTACAGATTTACTGCAGGTTTCCATCCTCTAGTCTACTCTAAATGAAGACACAAAGCTTCATATTAAGCAGGAGAACTGTGGAGACTGTTTGGACAAAATTATTGACCGCCTTACATATCACCGCCTTTACCCAGGGGATGCCATACCCTGCATCTATGGACTTCCCAAGATCCACAAGGAAGCTGTCCCACTCAGACCCATAGTCAGTAGCATAAACTCCGCCACTTATAACATTGCTAAACACCTTGCTACCATCCTTGCGCCTCTCGTGGGGAACACCCCACACCACATCAAGAACTCCACCGACTTCACCGACAAGGTCCAGAAGCTTACTCTGGATCTAGATGAAACCATGGTGTCCTTTGATGTAGTCTCCCTTTTCACTTGCGGCGGAGGCGGTGGAGACTGTCAGAAAACGACTACAAGAAGACAGCTCCTTGGAGGACAGGACCAACTTCACACCCGATCAGATCTGCACACTGTTAGACCTCTGCCTCACCACTACATATTTCAAGTACAACGAAGGCTTTTACAGACAAAAACATGGCTGTGCCATGGGCTCCCCCGTGTCACCTATTGTAGCCAACCTTTACACGGAGGAAGTGGAAAGGAAGGCTCTTGGCTCTTTCAAAGGAAGAGTACCCAGCCACTGGTACAGATATGTGAACGACACCTGGGTCAAAATCAAGACACAAGAAGTGGAATCCTTCACTGCGCACATTAACGCTGTGGATAAAAACATCAAGTTCACCAGGGAAGACACAAAGGACAACTGTCTGCCTTTCCTGGACTGCGCCGTGCACATTGAAGAGAACGGCAAACTCAACATTGAAGTTTACCGGAAGCCCACACACAGTACCTCCTCTTTGACTCCCATCACCCTCTGGAACACAAACTTGGAGTAATTAGGACCCTACACCACCGGGCAGAACATGTTCCCTCTAAGCCTGAAGGGAAAAAGAAGGAACACACACATGTAAAGGAAGCACTCAAAACGTGCGGCTATCCTAAATGGGCGTTCTTAAAGTCAGCAAAGAGGCACAAAAAAGAAGACCAGACACCAGCGTGGGAGGATAAGAAGGACAGACGCAACAACATTGTCATCCCCTATGTAGCCGGTGTATCAGAGAAACTCAGGAGAGTTTTCTCCAAGCATGACATCCCAGTGTATTTCAGACCCAGCAACACGCTCAGACAGAAACTGGTTCACCCGAAAGACAAAACACCAAAACACAAACTTAACAATGTGGTGTATGCTGTACAGTGCAGCGAGGAATGCCCAGACCTCTACATTGGAGAGACCAACCAGCCACTTCACAAGCGCATGGCACAACACAGAAGAGCCACCTCCACAGCACAAGACTCAGCAGTCCATCTGCATCTTAAGGATAAAGGACACTCTTTCGAGGATGCCAATGTTCACATTTTGGACAGAGAGGACAGATGGTTCGAAGGAGGAGTGAAAGAAGCCATCTATGTCCACTGTGAGCGACCATCTTTGAACAGAGGCGGGGGTTTACGACACCAACTCTCTGCCATCTATAATCCAGTTTTGAGATCCCTTCCCAGACGCCTTAACGCCCACTCACATCCTGGGCCATCTGACCTCAGGAATTCGCATGATAAGGTGGGGCCAGGTTTCACTATGAACTCACCCGAAACTCTGGCTGATTGGGACCCACGCCCAGTTTCACACCTTGGCTCAGGCGATTAGAGGATCATCAGGGGGTCCTTTTGTCCCTCTGTGGGGGGTTACTCCCACTAGGTTTATATCTGGGACTCTCCACCATTTGACCTTAGAACTGAAGAAGCTTCTCGGATGAGAGGTGAAACATCTTCAAGTAACTTAAAGAAGTCCAGACGCTTTTCTTTCCAAGCTCCTTTGACTGAGGAGACTGTAGTGTAACTCATATAAACACATTACAAGCAATCTCACATTTCCAAACACATTAGGCATTCATCTAAAAAGTAAATTCATATCTGGAAGCAGCTCATAGTGCTTTGTACTATACAGAAAGTCTGTGTTAAAACTGTCCACATTTTTTTCAGTCATGTACATATTACAGAGGCCACAAGCACACTGCTATTGGGATGCTATTTTTTTTAAATCCATAAATGTATGAATGCAAGCCATCCACCATAAGCAGTGCAAATTAGGTGATCAAAAATAAGCACACCTCTTGAGGGAGTGGGTAACATACTAACCAACATAATCCAATATAAAAATGCAGGTATTATTCAAGTGTTTGTTTCTGAGAGCAACATGGCAGTTCAGATCAAAGAGAGAGAGCTTAAGGAAAATCGATGTTGTGACATCAGGGCAAACTCTTCTGTTAGAAATTGATGGGCACTGTGAGGTCTTGGAGGAAAGGCAACTGTTCTCTGGATACATCTGACAGCCTAGGTGGAGCGCAGAGAAGGAATTCTTCATTACAACAAAAGTCTTCCATACAGACCCACTTATGTGTACAATTGGACCTGTTAGATTGTACAAGAACACATTAGTTATTCAAAAGTGGACATGACTCAGACAATTCAGATATTTTTAAAACTCATTTCAGATACATGAGTGACATCAATGATTACATATCGACCTAGATTTTAATACCTTGTGTTAAATATCTAATACTAGTAGGAAGTCTAACCAAAAAAGAAGT